CAAAGGGAAGAGAAAGAGAGGGAGAAATGGAGGGAAGGAGAACAGAGGAACAGAGGAAGGGAGGGAGGAAGAAAGGAAAGAAGGAAGGAAGAAGGAAGAAAGGAGGGAGGGAGGAAAGGAAGTAAAATGAGAAGGAAGGAAACCAGTGGTTAGACTGCAGTATTTCTGGGTCATTCTGCCCACAGCCAGGAAGTTCGATCCTGACTGGCTCAAGGTTGACTCAGCCTTCCGTCCTTCCGAGATGGGTAAAATGAGGACCCAGATTGTTGGGGGCAAGAGGCTGACTCTGTCAACCGCTTAGAGAGGGCTGTAAAAGCACTATAAGTCTAAGCGCTGTTGCTACAAATGTGAGAATCATCTTTAAAGTCACTTTTCTCCGTTGCCGGCGTAACTTCGAACGGTCGCTAAGCGAACGGTCGTACGTTGAAGATGTGATTTTTTTCACTTTCTCTTCCCCGGTGGTCTTTCTCCCTAGGGTTTTGGCTGGGCATGCTGACATGCACCCTGATCCCTTGCCTTTGCTCCGTCGTGTACATTGTCCGGATGAACTGGCACCAGGCGGCGGACGAGGTAAGAGGCATCCTTCAAACTGCTCCAACCAATAGGGAACATTCCTCCTGCATGCTAAGCAGGGGGTTGGACTAGAAGATCTCCAAGGTCCCTTCCTGCTCTATTCTGATTAATATTGATCTTGATGACGATTTCGATTTCCCTTTCTCCTTTCCGTCCTGGTTGTTTCGCGCACTTTTGCCCTGCTTGTCTTACAGATAGTCCTCAGTTTGCAACCGTTCCATCAGGCCCAGTCATTAAACTCACGCCAGTCATTAAACAAGTTACCCTGGAACCAAGTCCACTTTTCCGACCGTTTCTTCTTTTTACAGTGTTGGTTAAGTGGTAAAGCAAACACTGTGGTCATTAAGCAAACATTGCAGTCATTAAGTGAATCCATGGTCTGTAATGTCCTTTTGTTTTTTGCTCGAAACTGGACGTAAACCTTGGTTGTCATAAATCATGATTAAGGTGACCACTGGATTGTGTGGCAGTTGCTGTAATGTAATCTTGTCACAGGGGTGGAAAGCTGCCAGAATTTCAAATCAGAGTCTTTAAGTAGCCCCTAGTGGGTGTGTGTTGTAACTATAAAATTTCTATATATAGAAATTACTGTACATTTTATTTACTAGCTCGATACCCGTGCTTCGCTACGAAACTATGTGATCAGGCTTAGCTTTTGGGAAGGAAAATAAGGGGTGTGTGTGTGAAATTCTGCCTCTGCCTAACAGAATCCACCGGTATTCATCTAGCTAGCATCCTGTCAGGGTGTGAGAGAGCTGAGGGCTGTTTGGAAAGTGAAACAGTATTTGCTGTGAGAGCATGAAGGAGACAGCAAGGAGCCTGGATGTGGCTTAACTCAACTGATCTGTACTAAAGCTGCTTTGGTGCTGTGAAACTGAAACTCCTCTGCTTGTATTTTGCAAGTGGAAGAGATTTCTTTTCAGGTGGGGAGTGGGAGTAGAACTCCTTAGCATCAGAGCATGTTAATAATAATAATAATGTAGGGAATATTAATGCTCTGAGAGTCATTTCGAAAAATTCTTTCTTAGTGAGCATCTAGAAGCCAAGAGGAACATATGTGCCAAATTTCAAGTTTGTAGGTTTTACAGGTTCTGGAAATTTTGTGATGATGCGTAGGGGTATTTCGCTTTTATAAATATAGATTTAATTTGTATCCTTCCTTTACTCTTTTTACAAATAACTCAAGGTGGTGAACATATCCAATGCATCTTCCTCCTCCTATTGTCCCCACAACAACAATCCTGTGAGGTGGATTGGCTGAGAAGAAGGACTATCCCAGTATCATCCAGCTGTCTTTCAGGGCTAAGCCAAGACTAGAACTCACGATCACCTGGTGATTGGCCCAAAATCATTCAGTGGCTTTTATCCTTGAGGCGGGACTAGAGCTCGCATCTCCTGGTGATTGGCCCAAAGTCACTCACTTTTCATGGCTAAGGTGGGACCAGAATTCACAGTCTCCTGGTGATTGGCCCAGAGTCATTCAGCTGGGTTTCATATCTAAGGCAGGACTAGAACTCAC